TTACAGTCATTATTTAAATGGTATGAATTTAAACTTGGTGAAAAACAAACTGGAGAGCTTTTAGCTGTATTTGAACTTGTTGAAGTTAATCCAGTAAGTTCACCTTAAAAAAGAAATTTGTCTCACTCAAAGATTTCGAATTTTTTATTTGACAATAGGAAACACGAGAAGCTGAAACAACATTCGAACTTAAAGAAATTCCAATAACAACAGATAATTATCCACCGACAAGTTATATTACTAAGATTATGAAAAATAAAATTTATCAAATTCCGTTGTTACTGATACCTGCTTTTAAAACTTATCAAATTGAGGTAATTCCCATATTTAATTTTTAATTGAATAAAAATACGCCAGTATTTTTGAATAGATTATGTTTTGGGGTTTACGTGAATGTCGTACAATTAATCTTCAATCTATTCAAGAAGCTGAAGTAACAATTGAATGTGCTGGTGTACATGTAACAAGAACAATAAAAAATGTACAAAAACATCCAAATTTTGAATCATCACCTACTGAAGCAGACAAATATACACTTCTTATTGTATGAAAATAAAACAAATCAAACTATCTTTCATTTTTGAAAAATATGTTTTTCTTCTTTGTGTTTTACAGAATTTACCAAATGATGATAAATTTTGGCCACATTTAAGTATACTTTGTGTACAGCATCGTCTTTTTGGAATGAAAGAAATCGTTGGCAATCTAGTTGTAACTAATCTACAAAAATATCTTGAAAAACCTGTTCATCTTTTAACACCGAATGATCAAGCTGTAGTTGATACTGTGAATGAATTATCAAAAAGAATTCCATACAATTTTAATCGTGTTCGAAGATCGGTTATTGATACATATGAAGGTATATTTTTATGTTTTTGAATTTATATCTCAATTATTGGTTTCATTTTAGCTGCTTTAGTGGCACAGGACGAGAGTTTAGGAAGAACAAAATTAGATAAGTTTGAAAGCAATGCAGGTCGTGATAGAGACGATAGTGATAGTCAAGCACCAATTATCCATGCTGATTCATTGAGACAAGGAAAAAAAGTAATTAGAAAAAAAATATTTTTTTTATCAATAATTGTTCTCTTTTTTAACAAAAAATCAGAGAGGTGATGAATCGGGTAGAAAATCAGAGAAAGAAGAAGATGGTTTAAAAGAATCTGATTCGACACCTGAATCACCTAATAATAGAAAATATGGAAATGAACCTTTAACAAGATTAGAAAAAATAAAAAGAAATGATATGGAAAAAACAGCTGGATGGTGGCATAAATATTATGCATCAAAAGCAAAATTAGTATGGAATTATTTATTTTTTCTTGATTTTTCCTTTTTTTTATATTTTAATAGAATTTAATGCAACGATGTGCTATAGATATGGATGAAGGTTTAAAAGACAGTTATGATGCTTATGCCGAGCGTTTTGAAGATGAATCAAGTTTGTTTGAAAGCTTTTGTTTTTATTTGATTTCTCTCGAACGATAAATTTCTTGAAGCACTTGTTTCCAGAAAGTGTTTGAATTTATGGAATAGAGCTAAAGAAAAAGTCCTACGTGTTGGAAAAGCTCAGAAAATATTACGAAACGTAGCTGCTGAACGAATGGAACGGTTGGCAGATTCTGAAAAAGTAAAATTGAAATACCTTTTTTTACAAACAATATTTCTATGATTTAATATTTTAGTCGAAATCAGCTGTTGATGAAAGTTTAGATCTTATTGAAACTGATCGTCTTAAAGAATTAACATTATTACAAACATTTGATGTAAGAAAAACAAATTATATATTATTTAAGATCTTTTCTTTTTTTTTCGTTAGATAATTGAAACAGAGTTAGAAAATGTTTACGATTATGAAGGTTTTAATGATTGCCTTGATACATTTCCATTGTAAGATATTTTTGGGAATAGTTTCATTTAAGACATTCGTTTGTTTATTTAGATATAAAGGTAAAGGTTCAAGTCGATCAGATGAAGTTGGTGATGAAAAACGTATCTATGCGAAGTTTAAGGTTAGTATTTTATAATATTTATTCTTCACAGAAATATGCCACAGCTATAAAGTCCGTCGGATTGATCGCAGATTCTGACCCGTTCGGATCCAAGTCGGGTCCGGATCTGAAATTTTTTCGTCAGCCAGATCTGAGTCCGAAAACTTTGGACTCGATGGTCTCTGCCGTACACACGTCTCAGACGATTCCTCTGAGAAATGTGTAGAGTGTATTAGTAACGGAATACAAAAAATGGAAAAAAAGTATCTCGTATCTTCATAGCGGCTATCTTATTTCGATTGGAAAATTTCATAGAAAATATCAAAGTACGGTTTGATCGGGCCCGACAATTTTGCACCCGACTGGCTCTTCACAGCAATTGTATTTTTCAATGTAAACAATAAAATTGTACTTGCTCTCTTGTATTGTACAAATTGCCGAATGTTTAATAATTCGCATATCATGTATATCGCTTCGTACCAATGTCGTCAATTTTTCATCAAAACCAACGGTTCAAGTGGTTTGCTCTTTTTTTATCAAGTTTTATATAATTTTTCTATTAAATCAATATTTTCAGTCTTGAAGAGATTGCTATCAACTCCAATAAGACAGTTTTAATATGCCACAGTATATTGTGTCAGATGGCTTCACACTTTTCCTATGGGTTAAGTCTTTTAGCTAATGACTATTTTTGTGGCGTCATCTTTAATAAATAATCAAACTCGAAAACTAAGCAAAAACAGACAATGTGATTGGTACAGGTGACTTGAGCGTACTTATAATAACAAGGAGTGTGATTTAGACTGAAATCTAACATTTTTCTCAGAATTTAAAAAACTTATGCATTGAAATGCAAAACATTAAGCAGAAGAATCATGATTAACCGCGATGCACCGACGGTTTTTGAGCGGTTTGAACGACATGGGTATTGATTTTATTGGTACGCTCTAGTCGCAATACAGATAATGGATATGTAAGATCTCTACATCTAAGTTCAAATTAGGGCGAATAAGAAAATTGACAATCAATCCTAATAGCTCTCTATTGTACGAAAAATATCAGACTTAGGAAACTGTTTTGCCCGTGTCTCTCATACAGATATCGTTCGTCGTCAGACGGAACGTTTCTTCTTTCGCGTTAAGATAGGCTAAATTAGAGTTCTACAGCGAAGCTATACATCGGAGAACTGGTATCTAATATTATCTCCTACTCGACAGTTAGTAAAAATTCATTGTCATTGGATATTTTTAAAGGACATAATCTATCAGAAGCATGCATTGCATGAATAAATTTTCTTGACAGATAACAATGATGAACAGGCTAAGTACACAAAAAATCAAAATGTATGCTCACAATGATAAATGGTTCATGTCTATAAATGACCAATCATCTCATTTGATTGAGTAATTACATTCGATTTTATAGACACCAAGTATGAGTGAGGAGAAAAGCATCAAAACTATTGGAATTTTCCTAGTATTGATGAATAGAAGTCGACAAGTTCAGTTCTACTGTCCGTTTCAAAATATAGTGTGCACCACTGTTTTTTAAATAACTCAAGAACGCAACGAGCTAGAGACCTGCTATTTTCACCAATCGATAGATGAGACAGAGGGACGTCTTTTTTTCAGATAATATGTAAGGCGAAATCCTTTTAAAATCAGTCATCTCTAAAGAACATGGAAAAGAATGCATGAGAATGACCTGCTATCCAGATGAAATTCTGATTTTGACCTTTGATTTAGATAGACGAACTTGAGATCTATAGCTTAAGATACAATGCACTTTCTTACTTTTCCTTACGTTTTCTTCGAAATGTCCAACTATCATAAAAAAAAGGCAAACAGATAGTAAAAAATCAGTAAAATTCCCTATTATCTGTGTATGTAAATACATGGTTTCATTTGGTCAACGTTAGAATGCAATAAGAAAAGTATTTGCATTGCATCTTGAACTGTAGATCTCAAGTCCCTCTATCTCAATCAAAGGTCAAAATCAGAATTTCATCTGGATGGCAGGACATTCTCATGCATTCTTTTCCATGTTCTTTAGAGATGACTAATTTTAAAAGGATTTCGCCTTACACATAATCTGAGAAAAAGACGTCCCTCTATCTCATCTATCGATTGGTGAAAATTTCAGGTCTCTAGCTCGTTGCGTTCTTAAGTTATTTAAAAAACAGTGGCGCGCGCTATATTTTGAAACGGACAGTGGTTCACATTTGAGGAACTCTTTAAAAGGTTCTCGGATCTGAACTGATCTGTTCGAACAACTTTTGTTCTATATTTAAAAAAACATATTCGAGTTAAGGAAACTTTTTTTCTGTTACTGAAACGTCGTTCCCGAAACCGAACAAAACTTTCCGGACAACTCAGTTCTAGGAACAAAACTATTACAACAGACCAGTTCCTATCAGAGGAACTATTTGAAAAGATCTTATAATACTTAAGTACAATCTGATTTGCTCGAACATTTGTTTTGACAGGATCTGATCTCGTTCTACAGTGCTTTTGCTTATTTGAGTTGAACTTTGATCTGGAGCTGGTCAACTCCTAGTTACAATTTAGCTCTTGTCTTTGCTTGTTTTTCGCATAATAATAAATAATCACTTGTCGATCATTGCTTTCATTCTGTAGAATTAATACATATTATTAATCTCTGTTTAAAAAAATAATGACCGTGGATGTTTTTGCAATAACTCAAGAACGAAAAGAGCTACAGAAAAAATCAACCATTTTTACAAAGCATCTAAAAACTGTAGAGAAATTATCTGTGGTTCAGATCAAATTTTGACAAAAAATAAGAAAATTTGCTTAAAAATTAAGAGAAATCCATATTTTTTGAGGGAATAAATAGACAATTTTATTGACTCAACATTAGGATGTGTGAAGATAATCATTCGATTTATATCTTAAACTATAGATCTGAAGTCCCTCAATCTAAATCAGATATCAAAACCAAAATTTCATCGGAATGACAGACCGTTTTCATACATTTTTTTGCAATGTTTTGCAGAAATGATTGATTTTAAAATGCTTTCGTCTTATATAATATTGGAGAAAAAGACGTCCCGATATCTTCTCTTTCGACTAGTGAAAACCGCAGCTTTGTAGCTCTTTCCGTCCTTGAGTTATTGCAAAAATATTCACGACCATTATTTTTTTAAACAGGCGTTAGTAGAATTTATTAGATCTGCTGCATTATGAGTATGAAAAATCATTCTTTGTAAAATTCTATTGTAACTATTTTCATTATTTTAATTTTCATAATAATAAAAATTAGTCAAAAACAATATTGCGATAAACTCTCAATGCTTTTTTTTTAGTCTATTTATCAGTATAAACATTCGATATTTTTTCGCCACGAAAACTTATTTGCGCTTTTTCTTCATTATTTATTTCTTGTTCAGGGTAAATTTCGTATTCAAGAAATTCCAAAGAATGGAACAGATTGTATGTCTCCAATGTCTATTAATCGAGCTCTTTCAAATCCTCAAATGCAAGCACTCTTAAGATCAAAAAGTGGTTCAAATATGCCAACAAATCAACTAATGCTTCAATTAGATTTTAATAAAAATCCCATAACACTAAAATGTCGATTGTATATAATAAAAGCTCTATTATATCGTGCTTGGGATCAATCAGGAAAAGCAGATCCATTTATAAAAATTGCATTAAACAATGACACTATAATTGATGATGTCGACGGAAAACTTCTTAATACATTAGAACCTGTTTTTGGCAAGTGAGTATTCAACAAAACAAAAAACAAAAAGATAATTTTTTTAATTTTTTATTTAAATAGATCATATGAATTTGATGTTCAGTTACCTTTTCAATCTTTAATCCGCATACAAATATGGGATTGGGATATGACAAGTTCCAATGATATGATTGGTGAAACAAAAATTGATATTGAAAATCGTTGGTTTTCATGTCATAGAGCAACTTGTGGTTTACCAAAAAGATATGACAGGTCTATTAAACAATCTAAATTAATAAATAAACATTCGATTTTTCTTATATTTAGTGCGGGTTATAATACTTGGCGTGATACAAAAAAACCAACGATAATTTTAACTGAATTATGTCGAACAACAAATATTAATGTGCCCGTTTATACGGCAGATTTTCGTTCAGTAACAGTCGGCGATAAAATTTTCGAATGTGATCCTGCATGTGTTGAATTTGTCATGAATACAAAATCGCCCGTAGATATATTGTATCGAAAAGTTCATCATGAATCAACCGAAGAATATATACGACAAAATACAGCATTGGCTGCTCTACATGCATGGGGAAGAAAAATCAATCAGGTAAAAAAAAAGTATCTTTCGATTTTTTTATTTCTTTTATTATTCACCTTTATGTAGAAATGTGCTTTGGTTGCTGAACATATTGAATGTCGATCACTTTTTAATCCACAATTTCCTGAAACTGAGCAAGGAAAATTAGAAATGTGGTTAGATTTTTTTCCAATGTCACGACCACCTTCAAATGCTATGATTGATATAACACCATCTAAACCTACTTCTTATCAATTACGTGTAATTATCTGGAATACAACGGATGTAGAATTAAATGATGAAAATTTTGTTACGAGAGAGAAAACTTCAGATATTTATGTTAAAGCATGGATCTTAGGAGAAAGAGTTGATGCACAACAAACAGATATTCATTATCGGTTCGTTTTATTCATTAAAATTAACGAAATAAATATATAATATATATATATATCCTTTTTAATAATAGATCATTAACAGGCGAAGGAAACTTTAATTGGCGATTTCTATTCGATTTTGACTATTTAGATATAGAAGAAAAGATTGTTTTTGAAGCAAAAGACTCCGTATTTCAAGTTGGCAATACAACAAAAAAGATTCCACCAAGAATTATTATTCGTGTTTATGATGCAGATTTTTTTTCAGCTGATGATTTTCTTGGTTTGTTTATTCTTTATTTATCATTGAATAAATTATAATTCTTCTAGGTGAATGTGTTCTTAATCTGACACATGTACCACTCGGTGTTAAAGTACCAAAAAAATGTAAAGCTGATATTCTACTTAATTCAAAACATAGAGGAATTAATTTATTTGCTAATAAACGTATTGCTGGTATGAAGATTTGATTTATTATTTTTTTGATTGAATTTTCTTCAATTCTATTTTGAATACTTAGGTTGGTGGCCAATGATTGCTCCATTGAAAGAGGGTGAAATTCGTGATAAAACTTTATTAGGAGTGAGTCAACACTAAATAAACAAGAAAAGAAAATCAAGATCTTACTTTTTTTATTGTAAAAGGGAAAACTTGAAGCTGAATTTTCACTTGTTACTGCTGAAGAAGCAGAAAAAAATCCAGTTGGAAAAGCACGTGAAGCACCAGAACCACTTGAAAAACCAAAGTTTGTTTTAATATTTGATTTTATAAAATAAATTCTATTTATTCTAGTCGTCCAAAAACATCATTTCTTTGGTTTACATCACCATGGAAAACATTACGTTATGTTATATGGCGTAATTTCAAGTGGGCAATTATTCTTGGAGTCCTTATTTTTATTGGTGTTATTTTTCTTTTACTTGCTGTTTGGGCACTCCCCGGTGAAATCGTTAGACAAATAGCAACTAAAATTTTTAAAAATAAATAAGTGACATTGTAATTATTTATTTTCAAAATTATCATATTATATTTTTCATAATATTTTTGTGCATGTTCATTTTAATTTAATTCTTTCCTTATAAATACTTTGTATTATTTTTTAAAATAAATAACAGAGATAAGTTCTAAACATCTTACGTTGATTTGAACACATTTGATGTTAAAGTGAACTTTTTTTAACAAATGAAACTAATATTGATCAAACTATTTCAATTCAATTCTTCATAATTATCGTTTCTTTACTCTTGTTTTACAACATATAATTCTTCTTCAAGTACGATTAGTCTTATTTTTTGCATCTAAAAATTTGGCACTTGTTTAAATTTAGAGTCTCTCGTTTCTAGTACTCCCTTTTACATATTCATTCTTACTTATTAAAACGTTCTCTCGATATGACTGTTGTTAGAGAGTGTGTAATAGTGATTTAAATTGTTGTTTTTTTTTCTCAAATATTGACTATAAAAAGAAACTCATTAGAGTTTTTTTAATCTTAAGTAATACAACATTTCTGTGTGATCATCATTAATCTCAGCTGTCAAGATTATACGAAGTTGTATTCTTTTATTTTTATGCAAACACATACATAAAAAACGTTTTCCTTGTATCTTTTTTCTTTTTCAGATTTACGAAATGTGGATTTCAGAAATGTGGAGGTTTGTCGTAAAAAATATAAAGTTCATTAGGAAATCAGCAGATTTTTATTTGAAATAGCGGAAGCATATGCCAATTCTTTTGCGAACAACAATAAAACTTCTGCTGAGAGAAGCGCTTTTCAATCTGTCATATTAACTTGGTAGCGAAAATATTTTCTTAGAAATCTATGTCAAATGAAAAAGAAAAATATAATTATTTGATAGTCAATCATTTCATGGTCGTTTATTAAAATATGCATAAAAAAAGTAGAAAAAAATGGTTAATTGGTAGTTAGAGCCCTTGGGATTGGTCTCGGACTCGGTCGGGTCCGAGTTCGAAAATTTCGGATCCATCGGGCTCTATTGATAACTCAATATGAATTAAAAAACATAAGTTTATATCAAACATAAGTTGTTTGTCGGGTGATTTGTAGCACTTTTGGAGCATGATTGTACTTTTTTTTTTGAAAAAAAGAACTTTGTTCAAAGAGATGTGAGTAATTTAGGAAATAATTATAAAATTAATGTACAATAGTAGTTAGTGTTTACTTTTTAAATTAAGATTGTGGGTGTGACTGTGTTTGAACAGGTGAAAACGTGATTCAAGAAAATCATACGACATGCTTCGATCGGTCCGAGATCATCTTCAGGTATGCTTAGAATCAATATAACTATGTTAATTAGTCATGAACAATATGGAAAATCAAATAAAGAGGGTGTGGATGTGGGTGTGTGAGTAGATATTAGCCGTTCACGACAACGGTTGTTTCTATCATGTCATGACTATATCAGGTGGTATCTTAATATTATATCTACATAGAGATGTAATTCCTAAGTAAAACAAGACATTTGAGGGTGTGGGGTGTGGGTGTGGGGTGTGAGGTGTGAGTGTGTGGGTGTGTGGGTCTGTGGGTCTGTGAGTCTGTGGGTCTGCGGATGCGTGGGTGTGTGGGTGTACGTATGAGTGGGTGTATGGGTGCGGGTGTGAGTGTGGATCTCGGTCAACATAACACCCACACCCACACCCACACCCCACATCCCACACCCACACCCCACATCCCACACCCACACCCCGCACACACCCATACCCACACACCCACACCCACACCCACACCCACACACCCACACCCCACACCCCACACCCCACACACACCCACACCCACACCCACACACCCACACCCCACACACACCCACACCCACACCCACACGCTAAAGGAAAACAAGGTACAGATTTGTCGGGTCAACTATCAGAGTACTACGTATATCTAAGATGATTCATAAAATGGTATCAAAATGTGGCATTTGCATTGATATTTGGAACATTAATAGTGAGTAGCATAGGCGGCGGACCCATTAGGCTTGGGGAGGCTCAAGCCTCCCCTAAAAAACGGAGAAGGCTTAGGGAGGCTCATTTAATTTGAAAAAAGTTGTAGATCTCATCTATAATGTAGACATTTTTACAAGTTTTGAGAAAAGTAGAATCAGAAATAAATTATCAACAGACCACCTATTAGTACCAGATTTTTTTTGTTTTTAATTTCACCTCTCATCATCCTCATCCTCTGAAAAAAATTTTGAGCCTCCCCTAGATTGAAATCGTTCCGCCGCCGTTGGTGAGTAGCTATTTTGTATACAAAGAAAACTATGCAACAGGTGACATAAACATCCTAGTTTTGTGAGAATGTCGTGCGATCTTTACTCCTAGGTGTGTCCTCCGAGAATCTGAAATCTGGTCCGAGACAACAATCGACAAGTCATTTGAAGCGCAAACTAGCTGATTACAAGCTGGAAGAAAAGAAAGGATCTGACTGCGATGTCCGACGACGATGTGTAGGTTGTTACAATAAAAATAGAAAACATCAATCAAGAGAAGCGTGTCATTCAACAACAAAGAGAATCACAACTTTCTGTTCTGATTGTAACAATTTTTTTTTGTCTTGATTGTTTTAACGAGAAGCATCATGCTCTGTAATAAATGATTTTGAAAATAGCGAAGATACAAAGCAAATCACACACTACTTGTGACCTTCCGCCTAAAAATAAAAGAAAAGAAAGTGTTTTTCTATTAAGTTTCTTGCTAAAATATAGTGGAGTCCACTGATGGATCTCATCGCGTCGAATGGGCTAAACTAATCGTAGTTATTCCAATGCCCAGTGCTCTCAAAAATAATACCAACAATAATCATCATTGACAAAAAATAATTTGTGTTCTTTAACACTATTACATTAGTTGTGATGCATTCTATTGACAACTGACTAGAATGAAAATGTTTTTTTAAAATTCTATAGTTATTATCATGAAAAACGGTGATTGAGATTAACACATTTTAAACCAGCATTAAAACAAGAAAAAGAAGTAATAGAAAAAAAAACTCTAGTACCATTTAATGAAGTAGTCTCTATTTGACGGATTCTATCAATAGATTTTGTGATGCATTTTTCTGTTGTATGAAAGGACACTGATAGATTAAGATGAATAGATATAACTGATAATAAACGTTATATCTTATGTCATTTTCTGGAATTTGTCATGTCAATAATCAATAAAATGGATTTGATATTGGATTTACGATTTAATATTTGCAATGAATTTGTTCAAAGATTATTTATCAGAGATGATCAATCAATATCAATGTGGTTTTTTGTAATCATTCATTATTGATACTATATGAATAGCATGACTTATCATTCAGATCCTAGAGAAAGTACTGAGTTCAGGGTACCCATGTACTGAGAAAGTCCTAGCAGGGTACCCAATATGAATACTTCAGAAATTCTCAGTAATTATACTGTGTAAGTACTGCGCGTGGTTCCCATAAAAGTACCCTCACTGAACAAGTACTTGTATGGGTACTCGCATCTGTAATTTTACTGAGGAAAGCTATACAGGGTACCCTATAATTGTCGCGTTCTGTGTAGCAACTATTCATTCACCGTTTTCTTTTTCACGCACAGCTCCATATAAACAACTGGGTAAGACATAAGCAATTAATCTATTTTCATACTAATTTTTTCTAGATTATTTCTTGACTATTTCTTAGTCGAGAACATGCCGATCTTGATCGTAGATTAAGAGCTGACTACTCTGAAGTGATCTGATGGATACCTGACCAACTGAAGTCGGGTCAGATCTCGGCATTGTACCTGCTAAGTTTTCGAAATTGAAAAAATTCAATTGAATAAAATGGAAAAAAAAATGTAGTAAATTGCTTTGAGAGAAACAAAAATTAAAAAAAGTTAAAGGTCAGATTCGATCCTGAACATACTGAAATTTTTATAACAGGATACCTAGAAATACTAAATAATAGTACCCAATTGACTATCTGATCAGTACCTTCAAGTACCCAGTTACTACACATTTTGTCGCAAGGTACTTGTCAAAGTACCACTTAGATACCTGAAAGCACTTTTAAGTACTTTGGTATCCAAAAGTTCCTGTGACATACTGGTAACAAGGTACTTTTTGGGTACCTTTAACGGAGTACATTCTCTAGGGGATATTATCAACAATCGAGTTAAAAAATACACTTATTCATTTGAGATGAGATTGTATTCGTTGGTATGATGACTATAATCGTAATGAAATGATATTTGAGCTGCTTAATATGTATTCACATTTGAATTTCAATCATGATCCAATGAAACTATACGAAAACACGTGCAAATAACAATTGTTTTTATATCGATAGATTTTATTGCAAATATATATTATGATGACACTGAAAAAACACGAGAGATAATATTATTGATCTAATCTCTTTGTTTTTTATTTGTGTAGAGATTGATCATGTAATGTCAATCTTTTGTTATTTATTGTGAATTGACATACAAAGAAAAAAGCTTTTATTACATTGTCAATCTAGATGTAAGTTAAATGCTTTTTTTTACATTAATTTTAGGGAAAAAGATTATTTTTCTCGTCTAATTGGTTTTAATTTTATAGAGAAAATCAATTTTAAATAAAATTAATAAGTCTACTGAAAAAAAAGTACCAGTAATTATATACGATGAGTCGAGCTTCTTTTGTTAATATATATGCAATGAAAATCTACTCGAAGAAAAGCATCAATATTAAATTTTTATTTTTATTTACGAATCAAAAGATTTTTGGCAGATCGATTTTGTTTAATAATATGTTTCATTATCGTGAGATGAATATCTCTGATGAAGTCTTTGGTTAGTCATTATAAAAAAAGCTAGTTAGCGCAGCTTCTAAGGAGCTAAAATGTGGAACTCACGTACTTCCTTTAGACTTGTTATCCTAATATGTCATCAGTAAACTGAAAGATGTTTGTTGATTAAAATGATTCTTATAACTCATCACTGACATAAACAATATTTTATTATTTATTTGTATATGTCAAACTGCGACTATCTTTTTCGTTTGAGCGTGCCCGATTTTTTTAATTACTGTTGCTATATACTCGATAATAATCATTTTTATTGTTTTTTTTATTTGGAATTTTTTCATCATCAACTATTTCATAAATACGAGTCTTACAATAATGCACTTAATATGCATTAGCCATTCTCACAATACTTTTATACAACTCAATTAATTCATCAATAATGATATTGTTTCCTTCTGACACTAATAAAAAGATCGAATCATGTTTCTTGTATTGATTATTTCATCGGTAAGACAGATTAATATCTATTATCACTGTTCATCATTGATTTTCAGCATACAAGTTTCAATTCTTAGAAAAAAAGTTTGTTAGCGCGGCTCCAACGGAGCTGAAATGTGGAACTTACGTTTATCTTTTAAACCTGTTGTCCTGATGCCTGATTTTTAAACTCCAAAATAGCTTTTTTCGACTGTTTTTGAAAGCATTGATATATTATATAGAATCTATAGCCTTTATATACGCCGTTGTTGAGGTCTGTAATGTTCTCTCTCGTTGCTAGGTGTCTGTAGTGCGGGGGGAGGGAGGAAGCCGCAAAACTTCGAAATGAAAACTTACACTCACTCTTTTCGTCGAAAATATACGTGAGTTCCACGAAACATACTGCAATGAAAAATTTCTTCCATTAATTTTTGTTTAGTTTGAAGATTTCATTTTAAAACTTCTGACATAATTGTATCGGCAAACAAAGACCAAGACAAGCTTAACGTTTTAGTTACCGACGACGTATATATGCGTCATGAGCTTTATCATTGTCTGGAACAAACCCAATCATTAATAATCCGTATTTTTTAGGTTTTCTTCAGTTAAAAATAAGTGTCAGAGAACTGAAGCTTGTTATATCATCATTTTATTATGGGATATTTGCGAGGCGTGTTTTAAAAAAAGGAGCGTATGTGGGGTGGGATCAATTTGTTGTTCATATAGTTATCTTTTGTTCTTTTTCTTCTAAAGTGTATGCGTGCCACACATGCCGTAGGTTTCTCGTTTCCTCTTGTATTTGTGAATTATTCTGATGTATTCTGTTTTATTTTCTCACATTCTTTCCCTCTTACTTTTGATTTGACACTGGTATATATTCCAGAGTGTTCTTTTTGTCTAAGCCAGATATATGCAATGGTGATTTTTCTGAGCAGTTCAGTTTTGTTTTTAGTGTTTTCTTTAACTCATCCGATATCTCAAGATTATAATTACATATTGAACAAGCATAACAGCAAATCGAGACTTACTATATTTGTTTGTGAAAATGGGAACACGGCAACGTCATCTTTCAGATCAGGAAGTTGATGAAATTCCAGAAAAATTCTGGGTCAGAATCTGATCAAAATGATGAAACAACATCTTCAGCTCTCATAATTGAAACTAGAAGTTATTCAAGAATTAGTGGCAAAGTGCGACTCCAACAGGGTAAATGTTGGAAGGGCATTGAGTAATCATCCGTTACGACTGATGGTCAAGCATTTTCCTTCTCTAATTCCTTCAAATGATAGCAGTCAGACTCCTCGAAGAAGATGTTATGTTTGTGTCAACACTGAACGAATTTAAAAGAAACGAAGCGATACACGCTATCAATGTCTCAAATGCGGCATTGATCTGTGTGTTACCGATTGTTTCGAAGAATATCATACTTTACAACAGATTTAACCTTATATTCGTCAAATTCTGTCAAACTGGATCAGAAATAAAAAGTGATAAAAACTTTTGAAAGAATAGATTTTTCTTTCTTATACCGGTAACCAAAGGGTTAACAAATATTTCGATTGATAAACATAACAGTAATAAGTGTAACTATTATTTCGCTCTGTTGATATTCTAATGAAATACGTTGCATGTCGAAACTTAACATGTTATGTTCTATTATGAAAATATTTGAAATAACAATATTAAATATACGTATTCTTCAATCCTAAAAGTCGTTTTGTTTTACGTATATACTCTATAAACTTTGCTCTTTTAAAAACAATGATGAGTTAAATATAAGACATTACATTGTTAGGATATTAATTTTTGCTTTTTTCTTCAGATTTTTAGATTTTCACAGGGACCTATGATTCTCACCATTCAGTAGAGGACATTGGGGGCACATGTCAATATGCAAAAATGTTTTCTGAAAGTATTTTTCAGACTAATAGAAGACATGTCCGAGTACACACCTACTGAAAAAATTTCCTCTCAAAAAGGTGCTAATTTGTTCTTAATTTCGTCTAATAAAATTAGTCTGGAAAAATACTTTCAGAAAACATTTTCGCACATCGATAGTGTATTTCCGACTGTTCTGTGTTAAATGGGGAAAACCGCAGATCACTATGACTTTTTATTCGAAAGTTATATGCGTTTCGCCAGAATATACTTCTTATAAAATTCTGATATTAGCAACGCATTTGATAAAAGTAAAACTAAAACAATTGTTTCAACAGGACACTATTATCATGCTTAATTATACGCATAGGTTATTAAATCACAAAAGAATATTCATCTTTGTTTTCCTTGTCAATAGTTACAATGTTTGAAAAATTCATATAAAAATTGATGATATTATCATAGTATCTTCACTATTTTTATTATATGAAGGGTCAACAGCTGTATTTTTTTCATGAAAAAACAAGTCTGGATATCTAGTTTTTTCAGCTACAGAAAGAATTTGATCCGAAAAACCGATATAAGCTCTTGACAAGAAGTATGTAAAGCCATTGACAACTATTGCATTATCAATATATTTGGGAATAAAACATTTTCAATTTAACGAGCTCGAACTTTCTTATCTCAAGAGGATTAGTAATTGATAATATCTATTGATATATTGTGTATATATTTATTTTATTAAAATATAGATAATAAAACATTTTCTTTTTTATTTTCTTTAGTTTATTCAAAACAAAGGACAAAACTAAAAAAAACATTGATATCTTGTGCATCACAAAAAAAACCATAAATTTCATTTGATATTCTTCAAAGTAATTAAACAAAATAATAATAATGCTAATTGATCAAAGAGTAAGTATTCTTTGTTATTGTATGACTATCAATAAACATAGATGAAATTAAATATATTATTTTTAATCATATTTAGCAATTAAGTTTAACTTCCAAAGGATCAAAATTATTTCAACAAATAAATCGTTCAATAATTATGGTGTTGGCATCTATTATCATAATTAGTCTTACAATAACAACGATAACATTTGCTATGTTATGGAATCGCTCAAAATCGTCATCAAATTATATGAATTCTGTTCATAAAGGTACAATAGGTTATCCTATTCGTTTACCCAATGATGGAAAATATATTCAATGGACATTTTTACAATTAAATGATGTCTATGAAATGCTTCCATTAGATCAAGGCCGAAAAGGTGGTTTAGCTCGTGTTGCTCGTGTTCGACAATTATTATTAGAAGAAAATCCTCGAACATATACAGTTTTAGTTGGTGATTTTCTTTCACCATCAGCATTAAGCCAGTCAGAAATAAATGGAACAATATTAAATGGACGACAAATGATTGCATCTATGGATACATTAGGAATTGATTTTGTTATATTTGGTAATCATGAATTTGATTTAGATGAAAGAGAATTAATATCAAGAATAAATGAATCAAAATTTTCATGGATTAGTACAAATGTTTATAAAAGTGGAACAGATCAACCATTTTCATCAACGATCCGATATAAAATCTTAACAATTGACAAAATAAATATTCTGTTAATTGGTTTAACAATCAATGTAGATAGATCATATATTCGTATTATCAATCAAACATCACTTATTCCATTTGTTCAACAATTTCTTAAATCAATATCAAATATAGAATATGATGTTTTAGTTGCATTAACTCATTTAAGTCTGAAAATTGACATACAACTTGCAGAAAATATACCAGAAATTGATTTAATATTGGGTGGACATGAACATGAAAATTATTTTTTATCACGAGGTGTTAAATATACTCCAATAACAAAAGCTGATGCAAATGCATTTACTGTTTATATACATCGGTGTGCTTTTAATCTTGATACCAAACGATTTCTTGTTTATCAAACATTAACACAAATAAATTCCGAAATAGAAGATGAACCAAAAACAGCTGAAGTTGCTAATTATTGGTATGATTTAGGTATGAAAGGTTTTCAACAAATTGGACTTCAACCTAATAAAACAGTATCTTGTTTACCATCGAATATTGAATTAGATGGTCGTTCAACATCAATAAGAAATTTTCCAACATTATTAACAGATTGTGCATGTCAAAGTATATTAAAATCAACATCTATAAATGGAACAAAAATAGCAGTTTTTGTTTCAGGATCAATACGTATTGATGATATTCTTCGGGGAACAATAACACAATATGATATATTACGTGTTTTTCCTTTAAAGGATGATCTTTGGTCTCTTTCTGTACCTGGTTCATATCTTGCTAAGGTATTAACTAGTGTCATATCACTGAAAGGTACTGGAAGATTTCCTGCATATTGTGGAATTCAAACTCTTGATCAAGGCAATACTTGGATAGTAGATGATTTAGATATTTCTAAAACTAATCTTAATTATACTATTGCCACAATGACTTATCTCAAAGATGCAGAACTCAACAATCCAGCTGTTACTATTATGCAACATTTCAATATAACACAAAGACAAAGTTTAATGGAATATTTGCCATTAATATATCCACCATGTTAAACTCAATATAAACGAATTCTTCTATCAAATCCTTAAATATTATTAATAAACAATCACTTTCATTTTCTTTTATCGGTTTTTCAATACGGAGTAAACAAAGTGTGGGTGAGGGTGTGGGGGTGTGGGTGTGGGTGGGTATGGGTGTACTTGTGAAACGACATGGGGTGGGTGTGGGTGTGAGTGTGGGTGGGTGTGGGTGGGTGTTTGGGTGTGAGTGTGTGGGTGTGGGTGTGTGGGTGTAGGTGTGGGATTTGGGTTTGGGGTGGGTGGGGGTGAGTGTGAATGTGCGTGGGTGTGGGTGTACTTGTGAAACGACATGATGACCCACACCCACACCCTCAAGATAAAATTCGTATTGTACAATCCATTGAAGATTTAGGTAAATATTCTACAGCAAAAATTCATTCTTTTTGAATCTATCCAAATGAACTTTACATGAAATTGAAATCAAATTAATTTAATATTTGAATAAAACTATCATAAAATGCAAAAATATTGGAAGTTAGTTACTGAATAATAAATATAGTTCATCCCAAATTTTGTTCAACAGAATACTTTCCAACAAAATGTCAATTCTTATTTTTTGTTTTTGTTTATTTTAGGTCGTCATCTAGGTGGTGTTATGACAATGCAATGTCGTTTAAGTAGCTTAAAACATGATATGGCTGACATACAATCTAAATTTGATCAATTAGAAACTGAAGCATCAATATTAGAAAAATATCATTCTGATAAAGCAAGTGAAATATGCAGGCCATACGATTGGGAGGGGAGGAGGGGGAGGGAGGGAATTTCTCCCTCCTAAAATTTTGGAAGAAAGTCTCCCTGGAAAAATTTATCGTTTTTCTCCAGCGGATTTTCTCTTTGGAAAAATATTTTCGTTTTCTTCCAGCAGATTCTCTTTGGGAAAAAAATTTTTTCCCCCCTTTGGTCAAAAACAAACGAAATCTCTGGAAATATGTAATAAAGTTAAACAAATTAATTCTGTTTGGTATGAATTAAAAGAAATTTTTACGTAGTTGTGAAGAATCTATTGGTGAACAAACTGAATTACTAAAATTTTTACGTGATCTTGACCATTTTTCGACATGGTTAACACGTACACAAGCATCAGTTGCTAGTGAAGATATACCAAATACATTAAATGAAGCTGAACAATTGTTAAATCAACATCAAACAATAAAAGAAGAAATTGATTGTTATGGTCCTGGTTATGCACAAATGAAAGAATATGGTCATCGTATTATATGTAATGCTGATACAACAGATCCAAAATATATATTTTTACGTGAACGTTTAAATGCACTTTATGATAATTGGAATGAACTTGATCAGATGTGGCATCACAAAAAGAATATGTTAACTGAAGCTATGCAATATCAAATGTTTATTCGAGATTCTAATCAAGCAGAAATTTTATTAAATCATCAAGAAGCTTATTTAGCACGTGAACAACAACCAAAATCATTAGATGATGTTGAAGTTTCAATTAAAAAACATAAAGATTTTTTTACAACAATGTCAGCTAATGGAGATCAAATATAATGTGTTTGTTCATTTGTTCAACGTTTATGTCAAGAAAATCATTATTTAGATAATTTTTTATTTCAAGAGAAAATTCAAATTAATATTTATATGATTGAACAAATAATTATTGTTTGTAGCGAACGAAATGTCATTAGGATAATGGTTGATGCAAATATCGCTGCATTTTTTTTATTGATTAAAATATTTTGTAGAAAAAAGTGTATTGAAAGTATTTTTTTCAATGGAATATTCGAAAAAAAAACAATTATAGTGATTTCTGTCATGTTGTCCCATTGAATAACCAGCACATTTTAAAATAACTTTCAACTATAGTACATAAACAGCAATGTGTTAATACCATTATTAGATAGATAAGAAGTACTTTGGTGTAGATTCTAGATAGACAATACTTATATGATCTAACAGTGTGTCTACAATCAGTGTATACTTCTAGTCCTATTGAAAATAGTAATAACGCTGAAAATAAATTTCAATTCGACTCGAAACTAAAACTTTTGTTATAAATATTTACTAAGGAATTTTCCTTGTTATTTGACAGTTCTAGAAAAAAGAACATAAAATATACTTTAACTTTCTACATATTCTTCGTTTATAACCAACCAAAGATTAATCGATTATAATCAATATATTGTCTTTGGATCATCTGTTCCGTAAATTAAGCATAGAAGACAATATCAACAAATGAATTTTATTATAATGCTTGCAAGGATAGTATTGTTTCATGTTTTTTTTCTAAAACCGAACTAATCCTGTCTATTGTATTTTTATTAATGTTCATATTCAATCAGTATGTAAAGATTAGCTATACTTGCTAATTATATATTGGTCTTTCAAAAAGCAATATACTATCATGCTAATCTATTTCAACTATAAATCTGTCAGATATTATAATCATGAAAATTCTACTAGACATGAGTGCATGACTCAGCTATTCGAACTTCAGTATCACCAGTAATAGCTTAACTCTAATGAAGTCATTTAACGATACTGTCATATTTCCTGCAGTTCGATAATATGCTGATCACACTATGACATGCATCTGCCCTTACAATTAGTTAGTGTATATGAGAAACTGAAGCAAATATCTGCTTTAGGTCTTTTTCTCTCTGTAGACATATGAACAGAAAATAAATATCGTTCATGCTAATCAATATTTTAAATAATTCCTAGTTGAATATCATTAATTATAATTTATCCTAAATAAAACTAAAAATCTATATAATTTTAGGTAATCGTATTCTATCACGTACGTCAATAATTAATGATCGTTATGCTGCTAATCGTCAATTAGCAGTTGAAATGAATGATAAATTTCAAAAATCACTTAAATATTTTCAATTTATTCAAGATTGTGATAATCTTAAAGAATGGCTTGATATGAAAACATTACAAGCACAAGATGCTACATATCGTGATACAGCTAATATACATACAAAATATCTTCATCATCAAAAATTTCAAGCTGAAATAAATTCAAATAAAGAACGTTTATTATCATTAAAACAAAATGCTGACCAAATAAAAATTTGAAAATTATCAACAAGTTGATAAAAATTTAATTGATCAACATATTGATGAATTAGATAATTTATGGATTCAATTAGAAGGAATAATACATGAAAAAGGTGAACGTTTTTTTGATGCTAATCGTTCAAAATTATTTCAACAATCAATAACTAATCTTGAAGAATTTATGTTAAATATTGAAAAACATTTATATGCTGGTGAATCAACAACAACAACAGATTTAACAGCAACAAATTTTTTTTTTCTTACTTAAACAAACAACAATTGAAGAAAAATTATTAAAAAGTCAACAACAAGTTGATGAATTACGTATACAAACTGAAAAATTAAAACAATTAGAACCAGAAAAATCTGAAGAGATTGATACAAAACGTTTACAAGTTGAAGAAAAATTTGCTAAACTTTTATTATCATTAGAACAAAAGAAATTACATTTAGAACAACAAAAACATTTACATCAATATATACATGATATTGTAGATGAACAAACATGGTTAAGTGAAAAACATCATTTATTACAAACATATTCAGATTTAATATTTAATAATAAACAACAAGCATTAATGAATATTAAATTATTAAAACGTAAAAATGAAACATTATTAAAAGAAATTGAAAATCATGAACAATGTTTATTAGAACATTTAACTACTGAATGTATACGTATCAGCAAAGATTATCCATCACGTGTAAATGAATTAGAAGAATGTTTAGAACAATTAGTATTTAATTACAAATATTTAAAACAAACAATTAGATAACGACAATAACAAATTGAATTATTAGAAAATCTTTATCAATATTATTATGATTTAAGTGATGCTGAAGCATGGTTAGGTGAACAAAAATTGTATATGATGAATAAAGAACCTAGTAAAGATGAATTAATAACACAAACATTTATACGTCAACAACAAACATTTGATCAAACAATTGAAAATTATTAAAATATACTTCATGAATTAAATGAACGTGCAAAAAATTTATTAGGTATGTATTAATTTTGTCGAAAGAATAAATAGCAAAAACACAATGACAAAAATAGTCACTATATTATTACGTGACTCTGTTAAAGTTGAAATGTATGAATCGAAGACTAATATATATATATATATGTACACTTCTCATGAGCATTCATACTCATGTTTCATACTAGAGCTCATCAGATCCAAAACTCTAGAGCCACAATCCGGTTAGTTAATCTATTCGTGGCGACACGAATATTGTTTTTTTTTCAAAATTCGCAAAAGGTTTCAGTTTTTTTTTATAGCAACTGTAGTACTTCGAAACAATTTTTATCAACGTTTCTCTTATCAATATAAGCTGTGAATATTCCTTTATCAGTAGTAAACGAATCAATCTATTTGATTAAAATATGGTAGAGACATTCAATTATTTCTGCGATCAATAAGCTTTTTGGCTCCCCTGTAGTGGAGTTCATCTGCGGGCCCCTTAATCTCGAAAAGCTTAAACATTTTCAATCCGAAGCTCGATCCACACTGATAATATTCTCAATAAATTGTTTAATCCCATGTTGCTAGTTCCTCAGAAGGTACGAAATATTTCTTTCATTTATTTAAATTTAGCCAGTAGCATACCGTACATATCTTTCAAGGTACTGTGGCAAAGATCCTGTAAAAATACGTTCATATTTGACGGTTCTTTCAAAGTAGCCATTATCTGGTCTAATCTGGCAGACTCTACTTCACACTCCTATTATCTCCTTATGGTGTACTTCTATGTTTCTTACTTTTTTGGTATTCAATAAAATATCGTTATAGTGCTAAAAATTTTTTTTGACATTTTGTTTTTGCAATTTTTTTCTTGAATATTATTATTTTCTTTCGATCTAATTAATATTATTCATTTATTAAATAATTTAAATGAATCGAATTTATCTGATGATTTCACTGATGAACACAATGATTTAGTTAATAAACGACAAATACAATTAGATAAATTATATAGTAGCTTAAAAGATTTATCTATTGAACGACGACAAAAATTAGAACAAACATTGAAACTTTATCGTTTAAATAAAGAAATTGATGATCTTGAAAAATGGATATCTCATAGAGAATCGATAGCTGGTGCACATGAATCAGGACAAGATTTTGAATATGTATCTATGTTACTTGATCGTTTTGTTGCATTTGAACAAGAAACACAACAAATAGGTAATGAACGTTTACAATATGCTAATAATATGATTGATAATTTAATATCAAATGGTCATATTGATTCAGCACAAATAGCTGAATTAAAAGATTCATTAGATGAATCATATCAAGATCTATTAGAATTAATTGAAACACGTTTGCTAGCATTAAAAACATCATGGGAATTACACAAATTTTTACATGATTGTAAAGAAATATTATTAACTATGGAAGAACATACAAATTCAGTACCAGATGAAATTGGTCGTGATCAACAAAGTGTACAACAATTATTATGTAAACACCAACGATTTGAAACTGAATTAGTTTTATGAGCACAAGATATACAATGTATACAACAAGAAGCAAAACGTTTAAATAGTAAAAAAAAGAAACTGAAATAAAACAAAAAGAATCTGATATTTTAACACAATAGAAATTATTACAACAATTTGTTGATCAACGAAAACGTTTTTTTAAATGATTATGAAGATTTACATAAATTTTTTGGTTTAGCTAGAGATTTGCAATTATGGATGAATGGTATAATTAGACATATGAATAATAGTGATAAACCACATGATGTTAGTGGAGTAGATTTATTAATGAATAATCATCAAAGTTTAAAAGCAGAAATTGATTCTAGACAAGAAAATTTTATTATGTGTATTAATCTAGGTAATTTATTTAATATGAATTTGATTAATTTTAATACATACAAATGATTTACTTAAAGCATATCAAAAATAGTGACGAACGAATTTTATTTCGTTATAAAAAGTTTAAAGAAACGTTTTTTTTCTATATAGTCTGATAGTAAAAAATAATGCTCTATATTTCTCTAATATTTGGTCATATTTTCAACTAATATCATAATAATAAAATTTCGATAAAAGCTGCTTGTTATCATATGTGACGGTAATATTAGATCACATACTGTCCTCGACGTTCATACTTGAAAAATCGATACTGGTAATGTCCGGGACCAAGGATTTTTTTAGTGCAGGCCCCACTCAAGTCATAGTCATGATCATAGTCCCAGTCATAATATCAATTCCGCTCATTGTTCCAGTCGTGATCTAGAGAAAACTCTTCGAGAACTTATCCGTATCATATCTAAAAAAATTCTTCAAGTACTCGTTCTTTTGATTAGTTTAGTCAATGACTAGCAGTTCGTTAGATCATCTCTCTTGAATTATGTTCTGATTGATATGATAGTTCGCTTAAATTCATAGAATATTCACCTGTAATCTTTAGCTCCGATTGGGACAACTTTTTTCTCATAGTCTCGATCCTGGCCACTGAAACCCAGACTGAAATCGATTCCACACATCTCTAATTGATACTCGTACTTAAGAAAATCCGAACTTTTCAGTTCTGTTCTCTCGTTTCCGTTAATACCTAGCTGTCTATACATATTATAGATATGTACAGTATTATTTTTACTATCAGATCATAAGAGAGAAGGTTTCTTGAAGCTTTTTATCAAGAATTAAAATATCTTCGCCATTACTTTTATTATGCCCTCAGTATATAATACAAAATAATTTTTGTAAAACTCTTCACCATCGCAAAGCATTCAAACTAAATCAATTCATGTAATCTCTCTTGTCATATGTCGACGTAGAGTAAACAGAATCGTTTATGTATTCTGTTGAATTATATAAAATTTTGTTGATTTAAAATTTTCTTGAAACGGAACACTACTCAATGTAATTTCTATAAGATGATCTCGTTTAAAATAAGAATATGATGGTATCTAATCTCTAACAAATTGTTGTATCCATTATTTTTTTCTTTTAGGTAAAGATTTAATTAATCGTCAACATGTACGTTCATCTGAAGTAAAAGAAAAATGTATACAATTATCTATGTTACGTGATAATGTTGATGATACGTGGAAGGAACGTTGGAAATATATGCAACTTATTTTAGGAGTTTATCAACTTGCACGTGATGCAGCTGTTGCTGAAACATGGTTAATCGCACCAGAATCATATTTAGCAACTTGGTGAAACATTAGATCAAGTACAAAATCTAATAAAACGTCATGAACAATTTGAAAAATCTTTATTAACACAAGAAGATCGTTTTAACGCTTTGCGTAAGGTGACAACATTAGAAAAAAAACGACAATTACCATTCGTTCAACCTCGTCAAAGTCGTTTATCAATTTATTTAGAAGAATTTAAAACATGGGAAGAACGCAATGCTGAACGACCATCAACATTAACAGATAGAACAAAATATCAATCAATTATAACAGAAGAAAAAACAACATCTGATGGTGATAGTGATCGTTCAACAACATTGCCAGGTAAACAACAATCTAGTCAAGATTTAGAATCAACAATTAATAAACAACGACAATCAGAATCAGCAACACGTTTACTAACAATAAAGGAAGGCTTCTTATCACGTAAACATGAATGAGAATGACATGAACGTAAAACAACACATCGTGCATGGGAACAATATTATACAGCGTTACTTAGCAATCGTTTAACATTTTATAAAGATGCTATAGATTTAAAAGCAGGTCGTGCAATAACAGATGATGTTCAATTAGAGTCATCAACTAATGTTGCACCAGCAATAGATTATCGAAAAAAAACCAAATGTATTTCGTTTAAAATTTCAAAATGGTAATGAATATTTATTTCATGCTAAAGATAATATTGCAATGAATGAATGAATTATTGCAATACATAATTCTATATCATCATCATCA